CTATTGTGCCATAAATCACACGTTACAATTCAGAACAGTTAAGCTCATATGGCACACTAAGTCAAAATACATTGCAGCTTTGTGTAATGTGTAAACCAGTGTTGTCCAAACTTGGCCACTTTAAGATGAGTGGCCTCCACCTCCCAAATTCCCCCAGCCAGCCATGGAGTTGAAGTCCACTCATCTTAAAGTGGCCAAGTTTGGACAACACTGGTATAAACCCTCTGGCTGCCTGGGCTGAAGCCTTCAGATATCCTTTCCCCAGCTTCCTGTTCAGCTCCATTCGTCAGTGGAAGCAGCATCCTTGCAGCCTGAAGTTGCTGCTTTTCTCCCTGAGATACAGCCTAATCTCCAATTATCTTCCAAAGCCTCCAGCAGGTGCTTTGGCTCCAAAGTCTTGGTTTGAACACATGGAAGCTGCTCCACCTGGTGGACTCATGACAGCAACTCAGGCAAAGAAGGGCAGCAGATGCCCACCCTTATCAAGGGTGGTTGCTTCCCTTGGACATCAGTTCCATTCCCATTTCTTCACCACTCACCAAAAGGAATACAACCCTTCACTGAAAAATTACTTGTGTACGTTACTCCTTGCCATCATTTGCTAGATACTCATAGTGTAAATATGTAAGAACAATTGCTGGAACATGGCATATAATCCATCAGATAAAGAGCAGATTTCCTGGTTCATCTGCGTCAATTAAGTTGACCCAGATGGCCAACCATATTTCCAGGAAGGCCACAAATAGTAGTCTTTCCCAGCGATGAATACTCATTTATTTACATCAAGGGGCAAAGTGCCTTTGAGCATGGAGGTGCTATTTAGCTTTTGTGCCATACTGCTTATTTCATCCTCTTGGAACTGGAGAAAAAAATCGTAGATCTCATTCCTAATTGAAGCTCATTGACTGGGTTCAGACACAGTGCTAAGACATTCTTAACTATTTTAACTTATTTGTTGAATCAACCACAGTTACTTTATTCGCACATCACGCTGCCAGAACCCAGCAAAGCACATTATGGCATAGGCATAATATGTGAAGCCATCCACTTAAATCAAACACACAAGTCATGGCTATATTCCTAGGTAAAACTAAGCTAGATTATGGTTTGTTTGTGCTGTACATCCAAGTCTGGTGTGGACACCCAAATTACCATTAGAAGTCATGGTTTGTTATTGGGCTATGAATTATAGCTAGTTTTAGTCATGGCTTATCATGACCTTTGCAGTCAGAATCTAGACAGCTCATTGGTTTGCTTTTACCTCCTGTCCAAGCCATCTGCCAAAAAGCAGAAATGTGACAGCTACAAAAGAAAATGACTTTGTGGGCTGAATCATTCCTGCTTTTACCAAATTAGCCCTCCCATTACACACCCCCTCTTTATTTCTCCCTGAGCAGCCTTTCCCTGGCAGAACGCACAGCTTTCCAACTGTTGCTAAAGCAGAAGGAAATTTAAAAGAGCAGCAGTTAGTAGAAGTGCCCTTTCAAAGCATCACTGGATACACTGCTGGAAACCCCAATTATTACAGCCCAGAGGTACGACATGAAGAAATGAACTTTGTTTATTTTTCTGCTTCAATGCGTATTCTAGAGATGTTTCTGAGAAACTCCAAATCCTGATTTAATATTGCCTTGGCCAGGGATCCCTAGAAAGGATTGTGCTCTTATGCTCCCCAAGTCAACAAAGCACATTATGGCAGAGGAGCTTGGTTTGTCTGCACAACATGATAACTGAAATTTGTTGGGAGATTGTTCAACTCCTATCCTGCCCCATCACATAACTGGCTAGAGCTGTTCATAACAAACTGTGATGATGCTAAAATGATGTGTGCAAAGATATTGTTGAAATAGTACCTGAACTATTATGAAACAAAATATGGAGGGACACCTAGAGCTTGACCTAACCTATCAGCAGCCCTGTTTGAGTAAAAAGTCGCCTGTGTAAACACATTGAGTGCATGGCTAATTCTAGCTTTAAAAAAAGTCATGTCAGAATGATCCATTCATTTGCAAACATGACTAATGAAAGAAATAACACCCGAATGAACAGAAAGATATTCCATTCCAGGCCAGCCTTATTATATCAAAGGTGGGCATAGAACAGCTGGGAGGACATGAGAAATAAGACCCAGCAATCAATAGCTAAACTGCCCATTCTGATGGATGAAGGTATTATGAAAGTCTGGTATCTGAAGATAATGTTCCTGAATAGAAAGAACATTTCCTTTCTAAAAAGGGGATTAAACTGTAATAATGCTGAGATCTGGAGTAATCAAAAATGGCTGGTCAGAGATGAACACATGTTCTATCTTTGTACAATACAAGGAAAGAAAAAGAGGCTAGTTAATTCAGCTCCTCATTTTAGAGGAGCCATCTCTCCTTGTTTAACTATCTCTACACACTATAGCATCTCCCCTCAGCATTCAGTTCTACAGCTGGAGAGCAGTGTGACCAGTGATCCACTCTTTTACCTTGAACTGATGGCTAAATTCACTTACAGTCTCTGCTATTTTAATCAATTTGTTTAGTAGGAGCAATTAGGTAGGAGAATTAGGATCATACATTTGATTTTTCTTTCTGTGGGTAACTTATAAGTAAACGATCTTGCTGGTGCAAATGATGCATGTATGCATGAGAAAGGTGGGGAAACCACAGCCTATAAGGATTCTAGCAAAGACTGAATATCATAGGTTGACACATGAAATGTGTCAGAGGATCTGTTGCACTTCTGCTCAGATATCAGTAGTGGCTTGGATATCTTGGCTCAACAGTGTAATGATCCAAGGGCAGGAGTGGCCTTATAGCCTCTCCCCCCAGTGGCAAAGTATAGTTACCCACCATAGAAATAGGAACACTATGTAGAAGGAGGATATGAATGAAGATTGGTGAGAATGATTGAATATTTTTGTTCCATTTGTTATTCTGAGTTGACTTTCTGTACTTATCCTCTCCTAATGTGTACTAATCTGAGCACCCGGTTTCCCAAGAATGAGAGGTCAATAGAACACATATCTAGTAACACTGTGAAGAGTTGTTGTATGCCACCCAGAGTCACCTGTGGTGAGATGGGTGGCTATATAAATTGGTTTAATGACTAAAGAAATAAGAGATTCCATCATCTGCTTCCCATACATTAAGGGAACGCTGCACTAGGATAGTGAGGTCACTGCTGTATGAGTTATACTGTTGGATTGCCCATTTGGGAGCCCCTTAGGATAGGACCTTGGGTGGGCCACCCTTTCAAATTCATGTATGAGTATTGCGAGATTGCTGAGGTTCTAATGGGAGGAATTCCTTCAGTTTACTGGGTTGATTAAGTGTTGTTTAGTATTATGAGTTGGGTAGAATAGAACATGGCCTGGAAGTAAATACTGATGTAAAATAATGCGGAAATATAGTAGAAAGTTATAACCAGGCCACTGTAAGGGAAGGAGGGCAGGCTGTTAGTTTTCTTCCTTTCAGCTTGCAGTCTAACCCCAAAATCCAGACAATAGGAAAGATAGACCATCCAGCTTAAAAATCTTGGGAGTTTTCAAGCCAGATGAGTTGCTGGTAAAACATCTGTCCAGGATTTTTGGATGAAAATGATGATCTGGCATGTATTGGGAAGATCTGGGTGAGAGAGGAGGGGGGAGAGCGAGTAATGCAGCAGGTTATAGCTGAAAGGTGAGGTGGTGTGACTGTAATCTATAGGAATTCCATTTTACTGGTCAGAAGCTCCATCTGCCAGTAAGCCAATTTGAGTGTTTGCTGTTGGTCTGGATAACTGGGACAGTCCAGGGATATTGTTAGTATACTGTATTGTCCACCCGGGCATGAGAGTCTCCCTTCCTAAATTAGTGAAGGTGGTATCTGGTATGGTAATGGATTTTTCTATAAGACTTTGAGGTGCTTAGGGTGCCCAGTCATTAGTGGAGCTAAGAACATGAAGCAGATAGGCAAAGGGTTAGAGCACAAATAAAGTAACTTTTGGGATGACTGGATCATATAAGAAAGTGGGGTCCTTAATCCTACTGTATGATAGTGGACACAGCAAGGGAGGGGATCTCTGCTTTCATTGTGTCTGCAAATCACAAGCCAGGAATGCTTTTCCACACTGTAGGGCATTTTCTCCCTAAAGATATTGGGAGCGGAGAGCCTGACCAGTCAAGGGAACTAGTCATTGTTCTTTGCAAAGCCAGTCAGATTTGTCTCAATTTGGACTTGCATTGAGGGAGGTCTTTAATCCCGGCAACTGCTTTTTCTGTTAATCTGGATTCTTTTCAGGTTTTTCTTAAGGAAATGAACTAAATATGTGAAGGGATGAGGACCATCATGTCCTTTCTTGATCCTTGGGACTAGTACTGTTACTAATGATACCCCTAGTTTTGGCTACTGCTTTCACCTATTAATTATACCAGCCCCCTGGTATTGTTGAGATATTTTAAGATTCAGGAGTATGGATAGTCAAATTCTAATTCAAACTCAGTTGATCCCTTGGGATGGAAATATCCCCTTCTTTGCTTTGCTGCCAACTACTGGGGACAGGGCATGTGCAGAAATGCCCCAGGAAATTCCTTCTTTGATATGTGGCCCCTCTGCGCCTTTCATAAGAAATGCCCACTTCTTTCTATGGCCACTCTTTCAGAGGAAAGAAAAAGGTCCCCTTAATTTACAGCCTCTTGAGCACTGCCAAAAAAAAGCCAAAGATATTCCCAGGCTCTTTGTGTCTACGGCAAACACAAGTGGCTGACGCTTGGTGGCCCTCCAGTAAGGCATTAGGAATATGAGGAGGAAGCAAACACAAGCAGTCAAGAAAAAAGAAATCTTAGTTTGTCATGTTGAGGTGGCTCAACAAAACCGATGGCTGAATAATATGTGCAACACAGCCCCTGAAGCCTTTCTGCCATCCTCTGTAAGAATTTAATTTGATAAACGCAAATTACAAAACAATGCGATCAGGAAAAATAATTTCACAAAACAAAATGTTTAAATACTTTTTTATTTAATAAGTTTTGTCTATGTAGAAAAACAAGTAATCAAGTATGAAGTGCATTGATTTATTGTATAAATTCCTTTTGACTGTATACAAAATAAGTATTGCTGGTCAAATAGCAACAGTAAAATAAATATTTAATTTTTATTTTCAAATGAAGTTGGCTTAAGGAAACTCCCCATTGTCTCAGCCTCAAGCGGTTGCTCAATGTGACAATTCAGATAAAAACTGATGCTATTACTGCAGAACTCTTCCATCTGTACAATGAGATACAGCAGACTAACCACAAATGAGAGAAGAGCACCCCAACAGGAAGGGACATCAGGGTCAAAGGGAACCTCAAATGCTTTGTAGACCCAGAGCACCAAGAAAATGTAAACAAGGCTCACTGAGATTAAGCAGTGGGAAGGGAAACAGAAGGGAAACAGAAATGTTGTCTAGGGTTCAACCTGGTAATATGGATGCCATTGGATATCATTCACCAAACCTCAGTGTTGCCATTATCCTCTGGCATGAATAGAGCAGACTACTTGGACTTTTTAGAAGTACCCTATTCATTTTCACAAAGACTGGAGTAGAACCTCGGGGTCAGCAACATTTTCAAGCGGTGAGCACCTACTTTTGTTTTCATTCCCTGAAATACTGTGCAATGTGGTACCGTGTTATCAAGATCAGCAGTAGAGAATCCAGAAGCTAAGCTTGCAGTATCTTTAAGGCTGGGCTCTCCACAATACAGAGCCAGCACTTTCTGTCACTATCCTCAGCTAACTGGATCCAGCCCTTGAGTAATGAGTATCCTTTCATAAGATGGCTGCCAGTGCAAGAGCTCAGCCAAGAAATTAGTGACCCTTTTTACAAGGCATAGAACTTTAGGGGGGAATAATTTGTCAAATACTCAGCCCAAATGAATCACGAAACGGACAATAAGGCTGGGCATGCTTTGAAAATGATTGGGAAAAGGTGCTTTGGAATACATAACCTCTTTAAAGGAACAGTGTCTTTTTTCAGGCTTCCAAGAATCAGAATTCTCCCAACATTATTCAGTTATTCTGGATTGCACACGCCCCACCAGACCCAGCCTTCCCAAGAAGGCACATAGAAAGTAATGCATGAATTGTCAAATTCCATCCCTGAGAAGTGGTCTCTGTCAGGTTCAATCTTTCAGCCAAGCAGAGTTTTCATTGTAGGGCCAGGTTCACCAGTGTTCTTCAGAAAGCCACTTACTCAGCCACCTGTAAAAACTCTGAAGTGAAGACAGCTTCTGCATAGTCCTCACACAAGCCTTGAAGCTCAGCTGCTACGTCTGTCAGTGCTTCCTCTGTCAGCTCCTCTGCCAGGCTGAAAGAAAAGGAAAGAAAGGAGCTCAACAGCAAGGACCTGAGTTCCAAGGCTTCCATGACAACCTACAACTTAATCCAGGAGCAGCGGCAAGGAGTGGGACTGTATGCACTCTCAGTGGGCTGAGAGGGAGGCAATGAGACAGAGCAGGAAGAGACATGCAAGTGCTTGTGCCCTCACTAGAACTCTTACTGGTCATCTGTTCTACTAGCACCTCTAGTCTATGAAGCCCCACTCTTCTGAAGGAAGTCCTCTGCCCTTCCTGTCATCCACCCACCCCAAAGGTAATTAACATCTTCCAGTTCTGCTTCCTGCCTTTTCCCACTCAGAACACTCCCCCAAAAGCTGGGTTGGCCATCTGTAGCTGCAGCCTAATTTCAAAAACGCTCTGAAAGTTTTGACCTTGCCCTGGCAATCCACTGAAGGAAAAGGAGTGGTCCTGCCACATGTTGCCAACCTTAAGAATTATTGGCCTAATTACCTAGCAGGGGAAAGACAGCCCTTGAAGGAAGAAAAGTTCCCCAATCCAGTAGCATACTTAGCATATTTAATACCTGGAGCAGATCATTTTTTAACACCCCCTCCTTCATTGCTGGGAGCCAGTTTGGTGTAGTGGTTAAGGCATCAGACTAGAAACCAGGAGTAATAGGAAGAAGGAATAACCTTGAGGAACAGGAGGAAGAGCCGCAACCAAGACAATGGTCAAATAAAAGAAATTTGAATCCAGGGCAGAAATGTAATTTGAGAAAGCATCTCAGACATGACCCTCTCTAGCTTTCACAGAGATAAAGTGGGGGAGGAGGGAAGCACATTCAGATGTGCAAGATTCTGTTACTGTAACCTTATAATAAAAGTAGTATTAGCATTCATAACTCTGGTTTCCAAATCTGGTCTACCTTGAAGGGCTGTCACCAGGACTGGGAGTTCTAGTCTCACCTTAGCCACAAAGCCAGCTAAGTGATCTTGAGCCAGTCACTTCTCTCAGCCAGGTGTCAGCCCATGTGAAAGAGCCTATGTCCCACTGAGGATGGGTTTGAAGAAAATAAGAGCAAAAATGTTAGCCATGGCAATTGGGGAAGGAGGTAGAAACTTTGAGCTTCAAAGATAGGGGAGCAGCTACTCCTGACAACACCTCTGAAACAGAAGTGTGAAGGAAGGTGACAAGATATCCAAGAAGAAAGCAATTAGTCTGACAAATCAAAAATCAAATGATATTCTAACTACGCAAAGCAATTCCTTTTGCCAACTGGAAAATAGTGAAAGGAGCCATAGAAAAACAAAAGGGAAAAAAGCGAAACACAGAAGCAAGGAGATGGGTTACCACCTAGTGTCTCTAAAAGGAACCACAACACAGTTCTCTTCTCTTCAGGCTGTAACTTTTTTTAAAAGCTGGAGTATGGATTTTTGAAATAAAAAGCAAGATCCCTCCAGAAGATACCAAGAAAGGAAACATCCCAAAATTCCCCATACCTCTCTGCAATGTTCCAAGGGTTAAACTGCCCCACCTCCTCAAGGAAAATGCGCTTCAGGTGCTGCTTGTATCGGGCATCATAATCACGGAGGCTTTGGAGAACATTTTTAGATACGGAGAGGAAAGTGCCAGACTCTTTCTCTGGGGGAATGTGATGTGTAAAAGACTGCAGAGTCCCAGTCCTGGGCTCCAACAGCTCTTCATCAACAGCACTGAAAACACAAATACAACCAGAGTTAACAGAAGTAAGCCCTAAAATTGGATCAGACCCACAGCCTCTAGTTCACTGAGATGGTCCAGCTATGACCAGCACAATGCCTATGAGAAGCTCACTGGCTGGACATGATGGCAATAGCCTTCTCCCCCGTTTTTTTCCCTGTGCCTGCTACGCAGAGGAGTGCAGGACCCCCAAATCAGATTCATAGTTCAAAACCAATAGCATTTCATCCAAGTACAGCACTTAACCTTTTCTGTGCTTCTCTGCCTCCCTAGCTAGCTTGGTGTATTCTTCTCAGGCTCACTTAAGGTTAAAACAGACTATTTTCATCCAAGCTTATTTAAGCGCTCACTTCCCCCAACTTTCTTCCTTTTCGGTAGGTGCTCGTTTGTCTCTAACCCTTCTCTTGTGTAACTTCAACCACTGATTCTAGACCTCAGCTCCCTACCTCCTGTACTCTCAAAGAAAAAGATAAAGCCAAACAAGTTTCAGTGAGAAGATGAAGAGTCAAAGAAAGCAAAGCTGCTTCTCTCTCACTTGAGCATCCCCCAGCTTTCATTCATTTGTTCATGTTGAAAGAGTTAATTTTGCTGCGCTCATAAGCTTCTTTGAATAATAAAGGGAAGCAAAATGGTGGGCTACATGGAATTATCTCAGTCTATTTAGCACTGACATTCCTACCCACCCAGTTTGCACTCAGCTTTCCACCTTTGCTTCCAACCCATCCTCTGCCAACGGCATATAGCTCCTTCTGTCCTTCAGCCCAAGTACATGAGGTTTTCCTCCTCTGATTTTATTGTCCTAAAGAACCAGTACTATTGCTGTCCCGTGATACCTTGATCATTTGATTATTCCTAAACATTCCATACAATCTAGCCAAGGGGGCAAATCCTTTTTTTAGCATAAACAAAGATGATACATTTAATAAAAGTTAGCTGTTTAGGCACAATAAGCTGTTAAATCTCTTACTCACCTAGCATCCAAAGGCTTTTCCAACACAATGGCTACTTGTGGCTCTTTGTGATTTTCTAATTTTGTTATCTGGATGGGATGAACAACCCCAGGTTGTTGGTCTCTCACTACAGACTCTTCCTCTAGAAGGAGTTATCAGAAAAATAATTACCTCACCAATGCCAGAATGGACAAGCTCCAGCTGTATTTCAAATTTCATCTTCCCTATGCCCATTAACATATTTTTATAGAAACAGAAGCCAAGAGAGTATTTGTTAACCATGAGAATGTTTATCGAAAAAACTACATCATAGTATCAACCAGATTTGCCTTTTTCCCTCATCTCTACAACATACACACAGTAAGAACTTAAATATATATACTCTTGCACACAGAATGAGAGAGAGAGAGAGAGAACTTGACCATTTATCTATAGCTATGCCCATTCACTGCTCAGCTGTTATTTCTTAAAAATCGAAAGACAAACCAGAAACTCACTTTTGCTCTCCTGGATCCAGAAATCAACATCAGAATAAACAATCTGGTTGTAGCGTCTGCGCACAGCTTCTTGGTAGTGCTTCAATATACACAGATAAACCCAATATTACTCAACAAATAATTTAATTAGTTTCACTGTGTTGGGGAAAGACACAGAGGTGATTAAAACACTTCTAGTAAACCAAACTGTTCTACCTTTGTGCAGTGAGAAGCTCTAGCTAATGGAGAATTCAGAATGGGAGATATTGTTATCTTTCCTCTCTCTGAAAAACGAGTACTGTTTATACAGTATTTTTTGTACAGGATACAATAAATATACCTGCCACAATCCTGCAGGACTCTAGGCAGCATACAGAAAGACAAAAACAAAATTACAAAAGCAACATAAAATCCTTAAATCATATAGCCCTAAGACTCAAACTTGGGGATCAAATTTTGATCATGGAAGAGGGCACAAGAAATGGGAGTGCTGGCCATGGTGGGATGTCTCTGCATCTCTAGCAGTTTGGGTATCTCCAAGTAAAACCATCAGAAATCTCAAGGAATCTTCAGAAAAGGAGAGTAGAGCTAACTCTACTGTTTGTAAAACACAAATTTTGGCACAAGACAGCCTTCCCCAATCTGGCTGAGGAATCCTGGGAATTCTAATCTGAACACATCTGTGGAATCCTTGGGGTTCTCTGAGCTTGGTTCTTTTCTTGCAAAC